TTAGTGATATTGAGTATTTTTTCATATACCTGTTGGCCATTTGTATGTCTTATTTTGAGAAATGTCTGTTTAGATCTTTTGCCCATTTTTAAATGAAATTGTTTTTGGTTTTTTGCTATTGAGTTGTTTGAGCTCTTTGTATATTCTAGTCATTAATCCCTTTTCAGATGGATAGTTTGTAAATGTTTTATTTTGTTTATTGTCTATTCACTTTGTGGACTCTTTCCTTTGCTCTGCAGAAGCTTTTTAGCTTGAAGTAATCCTAATAGTCTATCTTTGCTTTGGTTGCCTGTGCTTTTGAGGTGTTACACAAGAAATCTTTGCTCAGGCCAATGTCCTGGAGTATTTCCCCAATGCTTTCTTCTAGTAGTTTCATAGTTTCAGGTCTGGGATTCAAGTGTTTAATTCATTTTTGTTTGATTTTTGTGTATGAAGGGGTAGGGGTCTATTCTCATTCTTCTGCATATAGTTATCCAGTTTTCCCTGCACCATTCACTGAAAAGACTCTCCTTTCTACATTGTAATTTCTTGGCACCTTGATTGAATACGAGTTGGCTGTAAATGCATGGATTCATATCTGGGTTCCCTATTTCTGTTCCATTGGTCTATGTGTCTGTTTTTATGCCAGTATCATGCTATTTAGGTTAGTATAGCTTTGTAATAAATTTTGAAGCCAGGTTGTGTGATGTCTCCAGCTTTGCTCTTTCTGTTCAGGATTGCTTTGGCTATTTGGTCTTTCATAGTTCCATATATATTTTAGAATTGTTTTTCTATTTCTGTGAAGAATGTTATTTATGTTTCGATAGAAATGGCATTGGATCTGTAAATTGCTTTGGGTACTATTGTCACTTTAAAAATATTAATTCTTCCAACCCATGAGCACGGAATGTTTTCCCATTTGTGTGTGTACGTGTGTCCTCTTCTATTTCTGTCATCAGTTTTATAGTTTTCCTTTTATAGATCTTTCACTACTTTTGTTATATTGCTTCTTAGGTATTTTATATTTTTTGTAGCTGTTGTACATAGGATTACTTTTTTGATTTTCCAGGTTGTTTGCTTTTGGCATATAGAAATGCTACTGATTTTTGTATGTAGATTTTGTATTCTGCAACTTTACTGAATTCATGTATCAGTTCTAACATACTTTGGTGAAGATATTAGGTTTTTCTAGGTATAAGATCATGTCCTCTGTGAACAAGGCTAATTTGATGTCTTCCTTTCCAATTTGGATGCCCTTTATTTATTTCTCTTGCCTAATTGCTTAGCCTTCAATTTTTCTCCATTCAGTACAATGTTTAGCCATGGGTTTGTCATAGATGGCCTTTATTATTTTGAGGTATGTTCCTTCAACACCCATCATAAAGGGATGTTAAATTTTATCAAATGCTTTTTCAGCATCTATTAAAATAATCACATGGTTTTTATCTTTGATTCTGTTAATGTGATGTATCATGTTTACTGACTTGTGTATTGTATGGCAGATGCACCTGACAGCAGTAACTTAAGCATATACCCTGAGAATGACCCTATGGTCTAAGAAGAATGTGTGCTCAGAGTTCCAAGCTAAGGAATCCAGCAGTGGCTAACCCAGAGATTCACTTCTTATGAAGGACATGGAACCCCTCTGCCCGTTCCTTGGAACATAGGATGTGCAAGGAAATGAGGCCCCTTTTCTGGGTTAAATGAAGTTTGCTAGGTTGGTGTTGCTACATGAAAATGCCATATTATAAACTGCATGTTTTTTACAAACAGTAGCAGTGCTCCTGTCTACCCTGTCACCTCTGGACCGCCTTGTATGTACGTCCTCTATAAACCATGTCTGGTAGTAAATTACTGGCTCTAGGTCTCTTCTGGGCCTCTCAGACACAATGCCATCTCTTTTGGAGTCACTAGGGGTCTGGCATGACACATATGTTGAACCATCTTTGCATCCCTGGGATGAATCCCACTTGATCATGGTGAATGATCTTTTTCATGTGTTGTTGTATTTTGTAATATTTTGGTGAGGATTTTTGCCTCTATAGTCATCAGGGATAATGGCCTACAGTTTTCTTTTTTTATTGTGTCCTTATCTGGTTTGGGTATCAGGGTGATATTGTTTGGCTCTGTGACCCCAACCAAATCTCACCCTGACTTGTAATAATCCCCATGTGTCAAGGGCAGAACCAGGTGGAGATAATTGAGTCATGGCGGCAGTTTCTGCCATGCTGTTCTCATGATAGTAAGTGAGTTCTCATGAGATCTGATGGTTTTATAAGGGGCTTCCCCCTTTGCTTGGCATTCATTCTCTCTCCTGCCATCCTGTGAAGAGGTGCCTTCCGCCATGATTATAAGTTTCCCAAGGCCTCCCCAGCCATATGGAACTGAGAGTCAATTAAACCTCTTTTCTTTATAAATTACGCAGTACTTGGGTATTTCTTCATAGCAGTGTGAGAATGAACTAATACACAAGCTAATGCTAGCCTGATAGAATTTGTTTGGAAGTATTCCCTCCTTTTCAATATTTTGGAAGAGTTTAATTGGTATTAATTCTTCTTTTGAATATTTGGTAGAATCCACCTGTGAAGCAATCAGGTCCTTGGGCTTTTCTTTGATGGGAAACCTTATTGGGGTTTCAATCTCATTACTTGTTATTGGTCTGTTCAGGTTTTCTACTTCTTCATGGCTCAATCTTGGCAGGGTGTATATGCCCAGGAATTTATCCATTTCTTCTAGGTTTTCCAATTTGTTGGCATATCGTTATTCATAATATTCTCCAATGATTCTTTGTATTTATGTGGTATCAGATGTTATGTTACCTTTCTCATTTCTGATTTTATTTGGGTCTTCTATTTTTTTAGTCTAGTTAAAAGGCTGTCAATTTTATCTTTTCAAAAAAACAACTTTTCATTTTGTTTTTTTCCTAGTCCCAATTTCATTTATTTCTGTGCTGATCTTTATTATTTCTTTCCTTCTACAAATTTTGAGTTTGGTTTGTCTTTTCTTCGGGAAATTTAGTCCATTAACATTCCATGCTATTATTGATAAGAACTTACTACTGCCATTTTGTTGTTTTCGGGTTGTTTTTTTTTTTTTAAATAACTCCTCTCTTCCTTTCTTCCTTTCTTTGTGGTTAATTTTATCTCCAATAAAATGTTTATTTATTTGTTTGTTGTTTGTTTTGAGATGGAATTTCGCTCTTGTTGTCCAGGCTAGAGTGCAGTGGTGTAATCTCGGCTCATTGCAACCTCTGCCTCCGGTTCCAAGCGATTCTCCTCAGTCTCCCAAGTAGCTGGGACTACAGGTGCCCGCCAACACACACAGCTAATTTTTGTATTTTTAGTAGAGACGGGGTTTCACCATGTTGGCCAGGCTGATCTCAAACTCCTGACCTCATGATCTGCCCACCTTTGCCTCCCAAAGTGCTGGGATTATAGGCATGAGCCACTGCACCTGGCCATATGTTTTAATTTATTGCTAAATCAAAATAAAAATGAATAAACAAAAATTAAAAATTAAATAGAAGTATTAACACTTCTGATAAGACCAGTCTACTAGCACCAAATCCCTTCAATATTTGTTTCTCTTAGAAAGCCTTTACTTTTCCTTTACTTTTGAAGGATAATTTCACTATATACAGAATTCTTATTGAGTACTTTTTTTCTTTCAACCTTTTAATTATTTCCTTTTACTCTTCTTGTTTGCATAGTTTCTGGAGAAGTTCAATATAGTACTTATCCTTGCTCCTCTATCAACAAGGCCCCTCCCCAACACCCCAACCCCACCTGGAGTTCTTTCATGATTTTTTTGTCTCTGATTTTCTGTACTTTGAATATGAGATGGTAATGTTTTGATTTTTAATATTTATCCTGGCTGATATTCTCTAAGCTTCCTGGATCTGTGGTTTGGTGTCTATCATTATCTTTGGGATATTCAGTCACTATAGATTCAAATGTTTCTTCTATTCCTTTAAAAAAAATTTTTTTTTTAATTTTCTGGCTGAGCGTGGTGGCTCACGTCTGTAATCACAGCACTTTGGGAGGCCTAGGCAGGCAGATCACCTGAGGTCAGGAATTTGAGACCAGCCTGGCCAACATGCTGAAAACTTTGTCTCTACTAAAAATACAAAAATTAGCTGAGCGTGGTGGTGGGCGCCTGTAATCTCAGCTACTCGGGAGACCGAGGCAGGAGAATCGCTTAACCTGGGAGGTGGAGGTTGCAGTGAGTGGAGAGTGCACTGTTACACTCCAGCCTGAGTGACAAGAGTGAAACTCCATCTCCAAAAATAAATAAATAAAATATTTTTAAAATCTTCTGGTATTCCCATTTGTAACATTATTTCAAGAATCTTCTGATTCTTAGAGCTTCCATCTCTCTGCTTATATTACCCATGGTTTTTTTGTTTGTTTTTTTTTTTTTTGTTTTTGAGACATTATCTTGCTCTGTTGCTCAGGCTGGAATGCAGCCGCACAATCAAAGCTCACTGCAGCCTCGAACTCCTGGGTTCAAGCGATCCTCCTGCCTCAGCCTCCTGAGTAGTTTGGACTAGAGGCACCTGCCACAATCCCTGGCTAATGGTTTTTTTTTTTTTTTTTTTTTTTTGTAGAGACAGGGTCTTGCTGTGTTGTTCAAGCTGGTCTTGAAATCCTGGCTTCAAGCAACTCCCTACTTGGGCCTCCCAAAGTGCTGAAATTACCTGAATTGTCCACTTTTTTTCATCAGAGCTCACAGCCTATTAATTGTTGCTGTTTTAAATTCCTACTTTGATAATTCCAGAATCTCTGGCATGCTTGCTGGTTCTGGTTTCCCTATTAAATTAGGGTAACCTCACCTACAAAAGTATTTCCCTAACTGCCTGTCAGTGTCACACTCTTAATATTAATGTTTTGTGTCAAAGAAAGAACACAGAAGGGAAAGAATACTTTCAAATATATGAAAAATAATGAATATATTATCTTGGAAATCTGCCTTTCAGAAAGCTGCTCTAACTGTAAATGCAGAGCCCCAGCATGAAGTGTTACCTGCAGCCTGAATGCATCACATCTGATGAGTTACGGGCAAAGGCAGCACTGCCTGATGGCCTCCTTCACATGTCATCCCCTCACCGATGATCTGTTACAGGTCTGGTCTTCCATTTTCAAATAAGGTCTATCATTTTCTTGTCCTTAATAAGATAAAAATGAATTTATCAACTAGTTTTATTATAAGGGAAAAACTATTTGCCAAATGATTATTCTTCAACAAATAATTTATGTGAGAAATCATTCTTGGTGTTCTACTTTAATCTGTATACTCATTATATCTTATAAACGCCTATGCACCCATTAAAGGTTTTGGGTTTTTTGTTGTTAAGAGACAGGGTCCCACTCTGTCACTCAGGCTGAAGTGCAGTGGTGTAATCTCAGCTTACTGCAGCCTTGACTTCCTGGGCTCAAGCAATCCTCCCACTTCAGCCCCTCAAGTAGCTGGGACTATACGTGTGCGCCACCATGCCTGGCTAACTTTTGTATTTTTTGTAGAGACAGGGTTTTGCCATGTTGCCCAGGCTGGTCTTGGAACTCCTGAGCTCAGGCAATATGCCCACCTCAGCTTCCCAAAGTGCTGGGATTACAGGCATGAGCCACCGCATCTGGCCTGAATGTTTTCATTGTCAATACATTTGGGAAATATTATGCTAAAAGACTGTCAAATAATTTTAACCTTTGTGAAGAATGAAAAACTATCAATGATAAAAAATATAAAGCAAGTTTTCTAAAACGTCTTTATTTTTAAAACCTATACAGTTTGAATTTAGTAAAAAATATTGCCATGAAATTTCTAATTATACAGCAACAGAAACAAAAAAATACAGTTAATTAGAGGTTACTCAAAATAAATTCACAATTTTAATGTTGGAATATATATGCTTTTATCAAATAAACAAAAGATTTTTTCAGATGTTTTTCCTCTTAAACATCAGATACACATAATCTTTTGAACTGGAGCTAGATGACCTCTCAATAACTTCAGAAATAAGTGCTTATATTAACATGGAAAATAAAATAACCCCAAAGCATACAATTAATGATTTACTCATAAAACTAAAAACCAAATAGATCATTGCTTCAAAATGTCTACCTCTTGAAAATGAAATCTATATCTGACTTGTGAAGAGGAATAATCTTTTTATAGAAAAAGATGAATCTTCCAGACTGGTTAATTTACTTCCTATCAAATTTATCCTATTCAGATTATTTTCATATGTCTTAATCCTGAAGAATGTGAGGTGTTAAAATATGAAAAGCTTCTTTGGCCCTTTAGATAGAGGTACCTTAATTGTAAACAATTGCAAGGAAAGCCTTCTAGATGTGGACACTTATGCTGAGTTGAAGATGTACATCCTTGTTTCTTAAAGGCATGGTAATTTCCTTTTTAACAATAACAAGTTTTTTAATGTATTAAGATTTTTTAAATGCTTTAAAAATCAAAATTCATGTATACTACTATAAGAGAATAATTCTCAAAAGATCAAAGCATTATATGATATTATACCATAGGTTTTATTAATGACAAGTGTTTGCATTACTTTTAAAAGCTTAGCTCTTACTAAGCATTCTTTAACAAAAGCTAATAAGCAGAATCATTTGCCATACAGAAACTATATTCACAAACAAGGCTTTAATCCAATATTGAAAGCTAAAGAATTGGAAAAAATACAAAACACTGCTATGAGTCAATTGAACGGCTATCATTGAATATACTGCATTTACAATGACACAAACATACTGAACATAAAAACAATTTTAGGGATTTAGTCTATAAGACTAGCATTAAGAATGACATGCAATTTGTGATTTCCTTTAAAAATAATTTTTTAAAACAGAATCCATTTGAATAAAGGGTCTTTTTTTTTTCTCTCATTTGAGGGGAAGACAATCTATGTTTCCCAAACAGATCCTCCTTTCATTCTAAAATAGCAAACTGTGACCTCGACTCCTCTTCCCAGACACTACTTATAGATGACTTTGCATAATAACTTAATTAGAATTACTTTTCTGGTAACAGTGTCATGGCCATAAATAATCAGTTTTTAAAAAACAAACATCAATTGCAAATCTAGAAAACTTCCTTTAAAGAATTACCCCAACCCAGCACGCACGCAGAATCATTAACAACAAGCTAAGCAATATGACTTTAAAACGTGTATATAATGATACACATGCACTAAAGACCATCTTTTATAAAGTTTTAATAGTGTTGCCAAGTTAATAATTCTTTCAAGGCACTGAAGAATTACACAGATGGAGCTTCCAAAATATAACTGACAACTGCTTGAACTGTTAAAAAGCCCTGAGTCAGAACTTTCAATAACTTCCTGAAATTATAGATTACAGACAAAACGGCATGTTTATTTTATTTTAAAAATTACAGGACCATTTTGCTTTTTGGAGGAAATAAGCTGGGTTTATGAAACAAATCATGCAGACTATACAGGAAAAGTAAAATATTCAGCATATTACCTTTCTTAGACATTTTGTACTTGTCAATTATAACTTGCAGTTACGGATTTAGGCACCAAATTAATGTGACAAGTCAATTCTCCTGTACCTACTGCTTAAATTCTCAATGAAACAAAAACGTCCATTTTAACCTCAGGTTCCCATTTCCTCTTTCCTCACAAATAAGAATAAATGCTGGAAAAAGTAATACTCTGACAGAAAAGGAGGTAGAAAATGCCAATGTAGCAACTTACAATTTTAATTCATCGGCTCTACTGTCTAGTTCACGTTTTTATACCAGAGTTTCACATACTACTAACCAGTAAATTGAGGCTCAATCTAAAGGATATTCCCCCTCACTGTAGTAAAGCAATGTACACGAGACAGCATTAAAGTTTCCTCAAATTTAATGTTTTAAAGAAGTACAACTATCATTATTAATACTGCTATAGTTATATATATATGTTAAAGTTCCTAGGCTATATATGACTATCAAGTAATATCAGTAAGCATTCCTATCATAATCAAGCAAATGAAGTAACGTTGCCTTTTTGAAGGAAAACATATTTTGAAACTTTTACAAGCAGACATAAAGACAGTTGACATTTCCAACAAGGCACACGTAATTTATGAAAATCTATTATGTTCCCTATTTAGTACAAACTCAAAGTTAATCTAATTCTGATATTTAAAATGTGCCTCTCCCCTCTGGCTCAAAATGAAATAACAAACCCTTCCAATTAACAGACATTTAAAACCTACTCAATTTAATTGCTAACAATTCAGAGGAGAGGTACATTGGCCCTCCCAAAAATTTTAAGAACTTAATGTTTACCATGATCTTATTGCAAACACAAACAACTAAAGAATTTAGATGTTTCTTGATTTATATGGAGTCAAAATTCTATTCCACTGAGAAGACAAAAAGGGGAGTTGTTTAATGGGTATGGAGTTTCAGTTTTGCAAGATGAAAAAGTTCTGGAGATGTTTCACAACAATGTAAATGTACTTAACGTGGCTGAACTGTATACTTTACAAACAGTTAATATGGTAAATTTTATGTTATGAGTTTTTCATCACAAAAAAATACAAAAAAACTATTCAAAAATTCATTTTTTTACACAAATTATTACTATAAAACATGGTAGACATTCTGATAGGATAAGTGCTTTTCCTTTTGGATTAAAAAAAAGCAAGCTGTATTAAAGCCTATAGATGACATCTATATGATCCTCTTTTTTTCTCTACACTCAAATGCTGACTTTCCTATCTGTTGTAACCCCACTGTACTGATCCTACTCTACCCCATCTTTAATTCTCTTAGTTCATGAATTTAACTCATTCCTAGTTCAAAAACGGTCCAGAATTCAGAATAGACAAACAGCAACTGGGCAACACATAGACAGTATGTTTCTGCTATGTAAAAATGACTCAGCAAGCTTTCATATTTGAACCAGACACATCTTAAGCAGCATGCATTTCAATATGCTAAAATGCTCTTACGGGCTAAAGCCATAAAAATATAAATTTAAGAAATGTATTTCCAACATGAATTATCAATTAATTTTATGCTTCCATAGCTAGCTGGTCAATTAGCAATGTTTAAAGTTACAAATATCTTATGCATAATTTGGCCAGCTAAACATTTGTCTAATATATTCCTACACTAATACAAAATTATCTTTTCTTGAAAACCTTCTTGCTCCCAACAAAATTAAATATGTATATAGTATAAGCAGTAAGAATGTTAGATTATGTGAACAAATACCATTAGAATAGCACCATCCGGTATATTGTATGTGTATGTTTTGAGTAACAACACTAACAATCTTAGAAGAATAAAGGAGAAAATGGCAGGGTGAAGGGTACAGAGAGGAAATCCAGACACTACTCATTGACAACTCTTCTGAAACACCAGGAAATGTTATCAGGACCTTTGGATCTCTTCCTTTTAACTACAGATTCCTTAAAATACACAACTGCTGCACAATAAATTCTGAGTGTGTTAAGATGCCATTTTTCCATTGTTATGTATCTAATCCCTGAAGCCCAATAAATACTTTTTTGCATGAATGCGTGTCAGTTTTTTTCTTTTTTTTAAAATGATTCTAAGAAAAGTAAAAGCTCTTTTGAGGCACAAGATAAAGAGGTTTAGCTAATGAGGAGGGTAACAAACCTAATTGGAAAAGTACTACTAAGGGACATATAATAAGAGGTAGCAGATTCAGAGAGTTGGAGGAAAGTCACTGAAATGATGAAGTTCTTAATCTTATTATCTCTCACAAACCCAAAATAAATGTAAAATAATTTTTAGGTGATTGAAAACATGAATAAAGAAGTATTTTCTATTCACACAACAAATTTCAAGGTGATACGAATACAGAAAATCCACAAGTACTAGCACTAAAATTATAACGACATTATTTCTATAATAAAAATGTATGTCATATTCTTATAAAGAAATAATTAAACTAGTCTGGAAGATGCTATTACCTTTGAGAGATCTGTTTTAGCATTGCAGCCAGAAAACAGAAAGGATTTGTTTAAGGAAAGTAGAGCTAGGGACCACACAATTCTCTGATTGGCCAAACTCTGCAGGAGTCAGCCAGGTGCTCCCTCCTCACCAGGTGATCTAGTGGAAAGAGATGGGTAGCCCATGGCATGGAAGGAAAGGAAAAACCTAACATGCTGTTTTCATGCCTGTAAGAAGATTGTCTGTCTGTCTCTTTATGTGAACATCATCAGTCAGATATTCTACCTTTTTATAACTTCAAAATAGTTTTTTTAAAAACAGGATCAGTGGCCCCTTATTAGATAACTGAGTCTATATAAATTTTCAAATTTGAAATATATAAAAATTGTATTGTTCTAAATGATAGCAGTTATTCAGCTAAACATAAGACATGGAATTGTTTAGACTAGAAAACCAGCAAGCA